TCTATGTGAGCTGTGTGGGTACAAGCTCCGCTTCTTCTAACGCTTCTATCTCTTAATTAACTAAATGAAATCTTAAACGTCCAGTGAAATACACGAGTAGCCCCTTGTTTGCTCCACGTTTTCATTTTTGAATCAAGACACACCCTTGTTTAAACCTTATTTCTTCCAACACACCTTATAACTCCTACTGAAGCAGCACATGTTCTTAAGAGACAGCCGCGTACAGTTATTCAGAAAGACGAGAAATTTTCACTGAGCGTTCCAAATGCAAAAAGAGCTACAACAAGAGCCATAATGCTTAAAAGCAGACAGGAGAGTAAGTAGGTTCCTGAAGATACAGGTGTGTGATTTTTTGATGATATAACTACTTTTTGGATTATCCTACTAGCACACACATATATGCCACTAGAAAGAATTAAGCAAATCTCTGAAGTAAGATCACAAGGTAATTCTGTCTTAGAAGTAAAGTACTTGTGTAAAGGTTGTGAGAGGAAAAAAAATTGGAAAGATTATAGGAACAAACTGTCCACTACCCTAACCTCTCACCAGAGTAAGGCCAGTGACTTTTGTCACCACCTAGAGGAAAAATGGAGCAGTAGTGTGTCCATGGAAACAACACATCCACTCATCTCCCTCCGGGACACACTAGGAAATGCCAACTTTCTCCACCCCTGCTTTACCGAGGAAGCCACCTCAGCTATTCCCTGCCTGCCTGCCTGGGAAAAGGCAAACACATAGTATCCCAAGAGTTTGCAAAGAATATTTCATCTTTGGATACACTCAAAACCTTCAGAATTCCTGACCTGGACTAAAACTCAGAGACAATTCTCTCATTTTAACTGTTTTCATCCCATTCTTTTGCCAGGGGATCATTTTTTGTATACTTCAAGACAAAATTATATGGCAAAATTGTCAGATGTACCCAGACACAGAAACTCACAGACTTCATTTTGAAGGAAAAAAACAAAAACTGTTATACTCTAAGACCTATTTAATTTTTGTACTAAGATTTGTTTCTCCAATCCCTGGCTATAGAATGAAATAATCTTTACTGTTTGTATTTATTCCACTTGGCTTCGAGGGTCTAAAAAGTCATTATTTCTACTGTGAGGAATTTAGAAAACAAATGTATATGCATATAACTTGACAGAACCAAGTGTCAGTCTTACTGTTCCTCTAAAAAAAAAAAAAAAGATTAAACACAATAAGTAGATGGAATGTGACACTTAGACTCGCTAATTGAAAACTAAATTACGGTGACAGTGTCATTCATTTCTCATATCATTCAGCTGAATTTTAAATTAGTCAGAAGACTTCTCAAAGACTTAAAGAGAATAAAGACAAAAAGAAAGAATACAGAAACTATTGTTTAAAAGAAGGCATTTAAGTTTGGGGGTACCAAATATGTATTCTATTTTATAAAATTACTTATTCTCATGCTCCTCCTTCGTTACTTTATCCACATACCAACTCTTCCTTTACTAAATTAACAGTCAAAGTACCCCTGAGCCAGAGAGTTCGGTTCCTGACTATAATTCAAAAACAGTGCTCCTTCAAACTGAGCAAATTTTATCTTTCATCTTTTAAAAGTCTCTTGAGGGTCTTTCCAAGTTAGTAGATATTTTAAGAAATAGCTATTTTTATACAAAAAGAGAGCTATTAAAATAGATTAGTTATTTGAAATTCACTTTTAATATTAGGTTCAGTGGTAGATTCTCATCTTATGTGTCGGAGACCTGGGTTCGATTCCCAGCTAATAAACCTCATGCTTAGCCACCATTAATGGAAATTTATGTGTTGCTATAAAGCTGAACAAGTTTCAGCAGGGCTTCCAGACTGACAGAAGAAAGCCCTGACAATTTACTTCCAAAAAATCAGCCAATGAAAACCATATGGATCACAATGGTCAGATCCTATTGTGCATGGAGTCACCTTGAGTCGGAAGCCAACTTGACGGCAGTTAGTAACAACAGCACTTCCAATACCAATGTCTCCAATATGCTCTGGAAAGAGTAAGGCGAAGGACTGAATATGTCACTGACAGAATTATTCCTACAGATTCCCTCTCTGGGAGTAAACATGACCTACGCTGAAGAACAAGTACAGACATATAGGTGAATTCTCTCAGAAATAGAGGGGAAAATTCCCTTAGAATCAGTAATACTCCATACACTATTGACATCCTCCTCCACAAAGAACACATTGTCTTATTATCTCCATCCCTACAGTGGCCTTAGAAAATACTGTTACCAAATAGTATGAGGACGTTCAGACTGGAAAACTCCTAGATCTTAAACTGGCTAGAGATGATAGACTCACAAAAATAGTCCTGTTTGAGGGGTGAGCTCAGAAGAATTCTGAGAACTGGAATCAATTTGTAGAGAACAGACCCAGCTGGGAAGAAGAGGGGTGAGAAGAAATCTGACATTTTGCTTACTTTAACTGTTAGAAATGTGTATTATCAACTCATTTTCTCATCCCTTTATTCCATTAATGGCTATTAAGTATCTACTATGTGCCAAGCCTTATGTATTTAAATGAAAATACGTAAAATAAGGGGAATCAAGAGTGAGATTAGGAGTGGGTTGAAATTTTAAATACAGTGGTCAGGGTGAGTCTCATAGAGGGGGTGACATTTGAGCATATACTTGAAGGAAGTGAGCTTCTGTCAAAAGTTAGACAACAGTAAAAATCACAAGTACAAGCACCTGCCTAGGACTGACTTCGTTTTGGAAAGGAGTCATATAAAGTCCTGATGCTGGAATTTTGAGCAACTGAGCCAGATTTGCCAGCAAAAGCTGCTCGTGACACAGAAAAATAAGGGGCTCTCACATTGCCCTAGATCTACTCCCTGTGTCTTTTCACTCCCAAAGAGTTTCTTCTTGACTTGTAAATATAGGAGCATGGGAGGCAAAAAGCTCTTTACATAAAGCACAAACCTACCCGATGCAGAGATAAATATTGAAACAATAAGATAAATACAGTTTCTAGTTACTTCTTGAGCATTTGTTCCCCGTTACTGAGCACTCCACCTCATCTCATTCCCTTTTTGTCAATATCTGAGATTCTCTAAGAGTTAAGACATTTTATGACCCAAAAGAGGCTACATAATTAGTGGGGCCCAGTGTAAAATGGAAATGTGGGACCCCTTCTTCAAAAATTATGAAGAATTTCAAGATGGTGATAGCAGAACATTAAACCAAGTGCTGGGAACTTCTGAGCATGGTGCCTTGTATGACTGCACAGACCACATGCCCGTAAAGCCAGTCTTGCTTCTATATCCCAGCCTGGCCACATACATAGTTTTTCTATTAATTCTACCTGCACAAGTAAGAGAGTAAGAATGAGAGCAAGCCAGTTGGGAACTTGACCAAGGGTAGATAGACCTTAAACATGTATTTGGGTCATTGTGTTATTTAGAGTTCTAAGGACTTCGTAAAGTATAATGGCTAAAAGAATGCCTAATATTCCGTTGTTAGCCAACATACCTCATGATGTATGACACAGTTACAGGAACAAGTTCCAGTTTGTCATGAGCATCCAAAGACATTCACATAAAAATGACACATGGAGATGTAGGAAAGCCCAATGCCAGATTATTCAAACAATAAAACCTCCACACAATTTTCCACGGTGCTGTACTGAAATTACATGTTTCTTCCAGAGAGGGAAAGGTTTCTTCAAACAAATGTGCTATGCCACGTTTCTTTGCCAAACATAATAGCCCATAAAGAAGACCATGCAATGAGGTAAAATAATTTTGATAGCTCATTAAGGAAACTACTTTTTTATAATAGGGGACGGTTTTTCCAGTGTGCTACAGAGTGATAATGCTACTTTGCAAAGCCCTCTACTAACAGGGATCCCCAGGAACTTTCTAAACATTACTGGGTGGTCAGAGGAAGAATCAGTTCTTGAGAAAACTGTGATTGAAATGAATCAGAGTCTAAATGTCTGACTTAAACAACTGAAGCATAGCTCAGTGCTAAAACTGAAACAGGATTTCTACTCCTAATCTCCAGACTCAAACTACCTAGCCTCTCTTCAAATAAGACAGAAATATTTTAATTTATTTTAATGACAGCAGTATTATTTTGAGAAGTGATTCCCTGAAAATTTACTGTCCCAAGAAGTTACTCACCAGGCACCCTATAGGATATCTTCTTTCTTACGACACCTTAGGAGCAGCAGTTTGAGTGAAATTTGTACTTAATGGTTTTTACATAAAACTCCAGTGACTGAGAGGATTCAGTCAAGCCACTTAAGACATCGAACTGGGTTATCCCCTGAAGCTCCATACGGAAATTAGGACTGGCTTCTGTCCTAAGCACAGAGTTTTCAATGTGTAACTGCATCAGTGATTGACATAGGGTGAGGCAACCCATTAAAATGAGCTACAACAGCTGTATGAAATTAGTTTATGCTAACAAACCTAAGATACAAAGAACATCAAAAAGAATTCTGAGATTAATAACAATAATTACAGCACCTTATTTTTACATAGCACTTGTGAGGAGGCAAGTCCTTCAGACAAGCCAGGCCGCCATGGTTTTCTCCGTTCCTCTCCCTGCTGGCATCTTTAGGCCTCAGAACACACCCTACTGAGGCCTCAAGTTTGTACAATTAAGAAGATACAATTAGTCATGTAGTCTGGGGGTGTGAAATAGCTGGGAGAGGAAGTTTTCTTCGTCTCCTCAGCTATGGTGCTAATGGGCAGCATACGTAGCAGTAAGCTTACAGCCCACCTAAGTGAACCTACCTAGCCAGGGTGAGACTAGCAGAAGGTAGGCTTCCATTGTGTCCCTCAGCCATGATGCCAGGTGGAGGGCAGGCATGGAAGAATCTATATCCACATGGACAGTTTCCAGAAGCCAGGGGGGACGTGTCATGTAACTGTCCCATTTAAGTCTCCCACCCATGACACAAAGTGGGATGTACATGGAAAAGTCATCATCTCTGCCCGGACAGCTTTTATTCCAGAGGACACTACTCACCTGTTGTATACAGTCTACTTTTATTGTAAGTGATAAAAGCTACTTTCCATGTGCTGACTTGTGTTCAGGCTCTGATCAGAAGGACGAGATAGAAGTGGAGCAATCTATAGTAGTTATTGGTGCCCTTTTTCTAACGGCCTCCTCACTGTCTAGAAATCAGCTACAAGCAGATTTGTCATGTTGCACCTCAGGTTTGGTGAAGCAAAACAGGGTCTGATGGTGTTGTCTCTCATCATTTATCATTTAAAAAATTTTTTTTAAACTTCCCATTGTCTCATGTGTACAAATAGTCCTCTAGGTATTTTCTGAAGGAGGTTTTTCCATCCCAATTTATACGTGGAAAACCTGAGGCCAAAAGAAGTTAAGAGATTAGTTAAATGGCAGAACCTGAATCTGATTTCCTACCATAACATCACAGTAAATTCTAAAAATATCAAAACCACAACTCTCACCCTCATTCAGAACTTGTTCAGATTATATAAATTGTTCACATCTTATAAACAGAGTTTGAAGTGGAGCAAAGAAAAGAACTTATAGAGGTTCTGCTTCATTTAACCACTTTCCAACCCAAACCAGTCCTTCACCCTCTGTCAGGGATTGAATTGTGTCCCAAAAATATGTGTCATCTTGGCCCGGCCATGATTCCCAGTATTGTGTTATTGTCCACCATTTTGTCATCTGATGTGATTTTCAAATGTGTTGTGAATCCTACCTCTGTGATTTTAATGAGGCAGGATTACAGGCAGTTATGTTGATGGGGCAGGACTCAATCTACAAGATTAGATTGTATCTTAAGTCAATTTCTTTTGAGATATAAAAGAGAGAAGCAAGCAGAGAGACATGGGGACCTTAAACCACCAAGAAACAAGACCCAGGAGACTAGAGCATTCTTTGGACCCAGGTCCCTGCACTGAGAAGCTCCTCAACCGGGGTAGATTGACAAGGACCTTCCCCTAGAGCCAACAGAGAGAGAGAAAGCCTTCCCCTGGAGCTAGCACTCTGAGTCTGGACTTCTAGCCTCCTAGACTGTCAGAGGAAACGCTGATGGCGTAGTGGTTAAGAGCTATGGCTGTTAACCAAAAGGTCAGCAGTTCAAACCCACCAGCCACTCCTTGGAAACTCTATGGGGCAGTTCTGCTCTGTCCTATAGGGTCACTATGAGTCGGAATCGACTAGACGGCAAAGGAGTTTTATGGGTTTAGACTGTGAGAGAATAAATTTTTCTTTGTTAAAGCCACCCACTCGCGATATTTCTGTTATAGCAGCAGTAGATAACTAAGATGCCCTCCATGATCTCTTCCAACCTTCCCCAATTGGCCAGGAGTAGAAATGGGAAAGAAAAAAATATGGTACCATTTCAGAAGTTTGTTCTTGCTTTAAAATGGGTGGGGCATAATCAAAGTCGTTTTTCAGAGCATTCAATTTTCCTTGCCTTCATTTACCTCCTCGCATTCACTCTTCCCTCAAGCCACGGCTTCTGAACAGTAAAGGCACCTTTGCAGCTCTTACAATTCTCCAAACACTCAACTCTACACTAGCTGGAACACCACACACACACACACACAAACTTCCTGAATGAATGAATAAATACTATCAAGTTGAAAAGCTGGGGAAAGCTAAGGATTGCCTGGTCGGCTAATAGTTTTGTTTTGTTTTTTTTTTTCATTGAGGGTAGAGTTGAGTTTACCATCACCTCTTGATTACTCAGAGACTGTGTGTTTGTTTTTGTGGTTGTTATGGGTTGAATTGTGTCCCCAAAAAAATATGTTGAAGTCCTAACCCGTGGTACCTGTGAATGTAAATTTATTTGGGAATAGGGTCTTTGCAGGTGTAATTTGTTAAATTAACAAGAGGCCATGCTGGAGTAGAGTGGGCCCTAATCCAATATGACTGGTGTCCTTATAAGAAGAGAAGAGATCCAGAGGGAAGCTGACCATGTGAAGATAGAGGCAGAGATGGAGTTATGCTGCCACAAGCCAAGGACACCTGGGGCTACCAGCAAGTAGAAGAGGCAAGGAAGGATCTTCCCTTAGAGCATTCAGAGAGAGCATGGCTCTGTCGACACCTTGGTTTTGAACTTCTAGCCTCTGAAACTGCGAAAGAATACATTTCTGTTGTTTTAAGCCATCCAGTTTGTGGTGCTTTGTTACAGCACCCCTAGGCAACTAATACAGTTGTTTATCCTTTTCTTCTTTTCTCACTATTCATTAGAACAAACAAGAAAGCACAGACAAAGGAATAAATAGTAGAGCACAAACTGTGCTCTTTAGATATCTGTTAGAATTTGTTACAAGGTTGGGAAAGAAGAGTAAAATAATGAATAAAATGAGGTTTTGAAAATTGGTGCTTTTCAATTCACCCTGTAAGTCAAACCCCTGTCCAATTTCCACTGCTAATTTAAAGAATTGGGCTATTTCAAAAATAGATATAGAAATAATCATAGAGTTAGGAGAAAACTTAGAAATTTCTTCGTCCACACTCCCAACCAATGCAAGAACCCTCTTTACACCACACCCAGAAGATGTTCACCCAGCTTCCCCTTGAACACTTTCAGTACCAGGTAGATTGATTCCTCCTAAGACCATCCTAATTTCATTTTTTAAACTTCTGATTTATAGTGTGCCAGAATCTGGTTTCCTTTAACTTCTACCCAGTCATCATGCCGGAAGCCACTGAAGCCATACAACTGCTTTTTCTGGACTTCAACCATTCTTCATGTCACGGGCTCATTTGAGACATTCCAGAATGTCAGTGTCACTCTTAACATTTGGTGCTAAGAGTTGGACAGAACACTCTGGCCGGTACAGAGTCCCTTGGCATTGTAACATCCTTTCTTGGAGAATTGTATTTGTAAGTACATATTTGGGAAGCAATAGAAAATGAGGTAAAAAAATCACCTTTGAGTTGTAGAAAATTAGGTTCAACATCAGGCCTACCACTGGACCAGCTATATAATGGAAAAGTTGATAAATTCTGTCATCCTTAGTTTCATCATCTCTAAAAATGAGGATAATAAGAATTGACTTGAGAGTTCAGTAGTCAGATACAAAATGAATTAACAGAAATCAATAGCTTTCTGTAAAATAGCAACAATTAGTTAGAAAATAAAATGTTAAACTATCGCATTCCTAACAACTACAAAATAGAAATTTGTTAAGGTCTAGAAATAACCCTAATAAAAAAATGTGCAGTAATTGTATGAAGAAAGTTAAAACTTTATTGAGAGACATACTGTGTTTGACTGAAGAAACACAATCGTTCTGGAGGTGAAGTTTGAATACAGAAAAGCTGTCGTTTACTTCCAAATTTATTTCTAGGTTTAATGCAATTCCAATGGAAATTCTCTAAAGAGGCATTCTCACTGCTGGAGGCAGCATGAAAGTGTTACAACTTCACTGCAGGACAGTTTGGCAATTGGTATCAGAAAACTCAAAAACTGTTTTATCCTTTGACCTAGAAATTCATGACAAGGAACATTTCCTAGGGAAAAATAATAGATGCACAAAAAGATCAATGTCCAAAGATGTTCATAACAGAGCCCCTTCTAATACCAAAAAGTGGAAACAAATGTCCAAAATAAGGGATTAGTTGAATAAGTATGGTACGTATATATGATGGAATAATATGCAATGCAGCCCCTAAAAATTACAGCTTAGAAGACTAATGACATTCTGCTCATATATATTAAAGAAATAAGTCAGATTACCATATGTAAAAATAATTGCAATTTTATATGAACCATAGTGTGTCATTTATATCGCACAGGTATAAATCATATATAGCAGTAATGATCTTGGATTATCTCTGAATAATGCCCATTATCATTAAGACAAAATTTGAAATTCCATCAGTGTGTGTAGTTTTTGTTTGGTTGGTTTGGCTTGGTTTGGTGGAGAGTAGGGAAGGATAAGGAATGGCTTGAATTCTCTACTGTTTTTACTGGAACTTAATAAAATGATTCCAAAGTCCAACTGGGAAAATAAACTACTACCATTAATGAAGCTATTTTTGATAAGTAATTACTGGATCTCATACGATAAAAGATATTAAAATCATCAAAGTAGTAGAAAAAGATATTTCAGTACTTCAGAAAACACCATAAATAAAAGTTAAAGACAAATGAGTAAAGAAAAATTTTTTTTAAATATTTACAACTAATCTGGCAAACAAAAGATTACTATTCCTAATTTAAAGAGCTCTTACAAATTGATTAGTAAATCGCTAATAGACCAACAGAAAAATAGGTACACATCACAAACAGGCAATTAAAAAAATAATTAACACATAGCCAAGAATAATATTTGACCTTACTAATAACTAAATAAGTGCTCACTAAAACATCAGTGAAATACTCTTTTGTCCTATCAAATTGCTAAAGTATTTTTTACTTGTAATATTCATAATTAGTACGAGTGAGGTGATGGTCACTGCTTTGTGGGATATAAGTTAAAACAAGTTTCCATTTAAGTGTTTTACCAATCAGCATCAGAACTTTTAAAATATTCATACCCTTTACTTGGTAACTAACTTGCAGAAATCTATCCTAAGGAAATAATCAGAGAAAAGTGGTCATATATCTACACACAAGGATGTTCAGCCACACAATTACTTATAATAACATATTCAAAACAACCTAAAACGCAGAAAAAAAGGGGAATAATTAAGGAAAATATGATACATCAAGCAGTCATAAATTTTAATAAAATTTAATTACTTGGAAAATGCTCATGACATAATATTAAGTGAAAAGGTAGAACACAAAACTGGGGGTCTGGGCCTCCTTGTATGGTGTGTGCCTGTATGTTTGTCCAGGCATGTATATCTGTGGTTTGAGTGTATTTTAAAACAAATTGGAATAAAATGCACCAAAATGTTGACAGTAGTTATTTCTAAAGTAGTGGGAATCCAGGTGATTTTTATATTGTTCTACATAGTAGTCTGGATTTTCCAAATGTTCTACAATTAACATGTCCTACAAAGGATCATAACTTACATGTATCAATAATAAAATTAATCATTATTTGGGGTCTATCCTTCCTATCAGCCAAGATGTTTTGAAATCTTTATTTAGTCTTCTTTTTTTGCAGTGGGTCCAAAGCCTGGCTGATCATCTGAAGTAATTTTTGATAAAAAAAAGAATCTTCTGGACCAACCCCCACACCACCCGTGAAATTCTGATTTAGAAAGTTACGTTAGCATGTTTTAGTTTTCTATGTATCTTCTTACAGGGCACTATTGTTTTAAACATTAAAACATGTTCCAATAAATATTCCTTTCTTTTCACATTTCCACACATTTCTAAAAGAATAGAGTAAGAAACTTTGTCAGAAAAGCCTTGCTGAAACCAAGGTATACTGAATTCCTGCGATCTAGATATTTCATCCCTCAGTTTCTTCATCTGTGTAATGGGGATAAACACAAGTCACTGCATCATAAAGATCTGGATGAGATTCAATAAGTTGATACATTTTCATGTTCTTTGAATAGTTCCTGACACATAACAAGTTCTCAATAAATGTTAATTACTATTATAGTCATTGGAGCACTGGTGGTGCAGTGGTTAAGAGCTATGGCTGCTAACCAAAAGGTCTGCAGTTTGAATCCACCAGCTGCTCCTTGGAAACCCGATGGGGCAGTTCTACTCTGTCCTGTAGGGTCGCTATGAGTCGGAATTGACTTGATGGCAATGCGTTTGGTTTTTGGTTTTTATTACAATCATCATCATAATTATCATATGCAGCCTTGAAAAATTTTGCAAAAAGAAATAGTTTTAAATTGTTTATTTTTAATAATCCAATGCTATTCTAGATCACCCTTGTCCAAATACAACACTCCATTTAGTAACTCATTCTACAGCTTTTGCCAGGGGTTAACCAATGAGCTCATCAGTCTTTGAATATCCATAATTCACCTTTTTAACCTCTTCAAAAAACTGAAGCATCTGCCACTTTCAGTCTTCTGAGATCTCTTCACTTCATCCAAGAGTCCAAGGAAGTGACTTGATAGTTTTTTCTGTCACGCCTAGAAATTTTTCTGCTCCCTGAAATGAAACCCATCAGTCTGAAGACTAGAGCAGCTCTGTCTTCTGTGCTCTATTTCCTCTTGGGTTTTAATTTCCCTTTAAGCATATTTGTTTTGCCCTTTCCAGGATCAAGATTATTCTCCTTAATCAAAAATAAGGAAGCAAAATAGGAGTGTAAATAGTTCTACTTTATCTCTCTCATGTTAATATTATACTGTGTATCTCAGCAGTGGCCTTATTATTTCCCTCTTATCTTTTTTGCTCTCCGCTTAAATATAAATACATACTTTTTGTGCCCTCAGTGTTTTTTCACATACTTTACACGTCCGCATCATCCTGGATTGTTACCTTGTTTACTCTAATACAAATAGGTACCACCCTCTTTTCTTCATTCTTGGTTGTGTGAGCTCAGTGGGGAGCTTCCTGTGATGTTAAATTGTTTGAGTTTGTTTTATTTATAGTAATTCTCTTTCCTTCTTACGTAAGATCATTTTTGACTGTGTACCCATTTTTTTTCCTTTTGTCAATTGCACATGCCCCTGATCTATCTTCTTTCCTGAAATCTTTGACCCTAAAGTCTGTTGCCAACGAGTCGATTCCAACTCATGATGACTCCATACACATGAATAGAACTGTGTTCCATACTTAAATTTCATAAGTAGAACATCAGGCCTTTCTTCTGAGGCACCTCTGGTAGACTTGAACTGCCAGCATTGCTGTTAGCAGCAAAGCATATTAACCATCTGCACCACCCAGGGACTTTAATAATTATACTTATTTATAATTATACTTATTTTTATACTTATTTTTCTCCAAGAATTTTTTTTGTCTACTTTTATTGAAATCTAATAAACTTCTCACTATGCCCAGCATTATTTTCTAAGAGTGTTGTGGTATCATATCTCTTTCTTTCAAGGTTACCATTACTTGCACCAGCTCTGTCTTACTGGTACTACACCTGCTCCTCACTTACTGACTATCTCGTTAGCCAGCATTTTGCATTTATGACAATACTAAAAAAATCTACTATTTGACTATTTTGCACATTAATGACATACATCTGGCAGTAACGAACACCGAGGTAGAGGTGAGAGTAACGCTGGCTGTGATGATTAAGGTTATGTGTTAACTTGGCTGGGCGTCGATTCTCAGAGACTTGGCAGTCGTGTAATGATGTAATCATCCTCCATTTTGTGATCGGATGTGGTCACTCTCCATTTTCACATAACGTTGATTTTCGTGTAATGACCTGGTCTTTGGAAACTATGTTGATAAGTGAGGAATGGATGTAAATTCAGAATAGCAGCTTCTATTATAGTTCTTTTGAGACCCTGAGCAATAAGAAATGTCAGTGAAACTAGTTATAAACTTATGGGATACTTTGCTTTTATCAGAATGAACCTGAAAACAACTATTTAACTGATAGAATTCTCCAATCTTTGCTATAACTCATCTCTACCAATTTTGTCAATTGATTTAGGAAGACACCATCTATACTCTCTTTTTGGTCAGGTGGTATCTAGTATAGCAGTGCAAGATCACTTCTGTGTTTCTTTACTGTTATCCTTGCCTAAATGCTTGATACTACAATTTTCCTTTCTTGTGTGGAAATAAGAGCTCTGTACTGGAAATTAGAAGATCTGCTTACTAGTCATGGCTTTCCCACTAAATAGCTGTGCAACCTTATGCAAATCACTCAGCCTCTCAAGGTTTCAAAATCCTTACATGTAAAATGAAGCATTTAGACTACATGATCACTAAATTTCTTACCACTCTGAGCTATCATGATGCAATGATTCTCTTCACATCATTCTGGCCTTGTGCTCCTTATAAACAATCTGTTTATATGAAATAATGTGTGTCTTCTATTGTTCCTTTCAGTCACATATCCCAATTCACTAATTTCTATTATCTAATAATACCTGATTGACCCCAAAATAAACTTCTATGCAGGTTCCTTTCCTCTTTGCACCTTAAATGTAGGTGCTTCTCCAAGGATCTATCCTTAGTCCTCTTTTTCTTTTCACTAGAATATCTCCCATGGTGCTTTCACATAGTCTCTTGGTCTCAGCTATTCCTTTCAGAACTCCTACGTCTTTACCTGTGGCTCTCACCCCTTTTCTGATCTCTCTCCATCTGATATTCCAGCTACCTACTAAAGACATCTCAAAGTTGGTTGAAATTCATCATCTTCCCTCCCAGACTGTTTCTTCAGTCTCCTGAATTTCCTGTTTCTGGTAGTGATTCTGCTCTCCTCTCAGTTAGCTAGTCATTAAAGCCTAGTACTCATATTTGACCTTTTTCTCTCCCTGACATCCATATGTCATTGGTTGCCCAGTGCTGCCAATTTGATCTTCATTATATCTCAGACACCCATGCCCTCTGC